TTTATTTAAAGCATCAGATAACGTTTTTTGATTTTTAAATACACGGAGCCCTTGGGGAGGGGGGGCTGGGGGACAACTGAGCCGAGATTCGGTCCCACTGATTTCCTTAGCAGAGCTAAACACGCCCATGATGCTATGGTTAAGAGTGTTTTGCATTCGGATCAGGAAGGTTCATGTTCCAACGGCACTGCCCTGAAGCAAACTGGGTGACCTTGGGCGAGCCATGTACTCTCACCCTAATCTACCTCATAGGGTTGTTAGGAGGAGAAAATGAAGGAGGTGAGAACTGTTTACCCCGCCCTGGTGGCTAGACAAGTGGGTTAACTAACAGCCACTGCTGAGACTGTGCCTTCGAAAAACAGGCTTAATTATAATTCTCTATTTCTTTCAATGGAGCTGCGGTGGCTCAAGTGGTTAAGACGCTGAACTGCAGGCTGTGGAAGGTCAGTAGTTCAGCAGTTCAAGACCCGAGTGTGCCGCACGACGGAGTGAGCTCCCGTCTCTAGTTCCAGCTCCTGCCAACCTAGCAGTTCGAAAGCAAGAAATTGCAAGTAGATAAATAGGTACCACTTTGGTGGGAAGGTAACAGCGTTCCGTGCGCCTTGGTGTTTAGTCATGCTGGCCACATGACCACGGAAACGTCTTTGAACAGCGCTGGCTCTTCGGCTTTGAAACGGAGATGAGCACCGCAACCCTAGAGTCGGACTCGACTGGCTTTCGAGCACGGGAACCTTTACCTTTACCTTATTCCTTTCAGGCAACTAACCTGATTCTTTTCCTCCACAAATGCAAAAATGGTTTCCCACTCAACACAAATCACATCCTTCTATACCATAAAGGAGGGCGATTGTGCGATCAGTTTCCCCCTCTGAAAGGTTAGATGACGCTCAAAATGTTGTATCCATTTTCCTATCGTGGCATCACTACTGTGCCAGGAAGAGAAACTTTAATATTCGTGATACAGGGGCATTATGATACTTTGGGTACTTTGAAGACCTGCGTCAGTCCCATTTACTCTTTTCCATCAAGATGCTAGAAAAACTGAACCAAGCCCTCCTAGCATTGAAGCGGTCGCTGTGCCGGCTGGTTGGCTACTCCTATAGCAGGCCACAGTCTTGAAAATGCAAAACCACCCCAAATCTCTTGCACGGAAAAAGGGGAATGATTTCCCCTGACGCATAACACCTTCTTTCAAACAACCTTCTGATCAGTGCTGGCTCCAGTTTGGGATAGGGGCTTCAAGCAAGACATCCCTCGTCCCTTTAAAATAGCAGGGACTCGATTCTAG